TCTACGGTATCCTGCAGGCCACTATGAGTTGGAATCAATTCAATGGCAGTGAGTTCGGTTGGGAAAACTTGGTGAATTTAGTTTTAAGCAACCACCTCGCTAGTACAGAGGATAAACACTTCTGCAAGGAAGTGTATTAAATTATAAAAACACAGACTCAAAAAGTTTTGAGTGGAATCTGAGGCCCGGTGGAGCTGTCAGTTGTGTTGGACGCCTAGCTGGAAGGTCCCTGGTTCAAACTCACCAGCCACTAGAAAAGATGTGGCAGTCTGCTCCCATAAAGATTTACATCCTTAGACACCTATGGGGCAACGCTACTCTGTTCACTAAAGCCATTCATTATGCATCGGAACTTGCTTGTCTACAGCAGGTAACACGGATACTGATACTGGAAGGGGCTCACTGGGCTGTCACCACACCCGCTGTCTAACCTACCAGACGTTAGTTCATTCTTATCTACACACAGCAGCCCCTTAGGAATGAGCAGACATAGTTACACATTGGCAACATGATTTTGTCTTACTTGGGGTTCAATAAAGCACTTCTAAATTGTAAAAGATTGCACAGAATTAGAAAGTTCTTGGTTGTTAAAAAGCCAAATATTCCATTTTTTTTAACGAAATGAGCTGTGTCTTTTAAGTAACTATCCCATAGCTTAAGCCAGTATTTTATTTTAAAAATGTAACTATTTTCAGAAACTTAAAAATTTATAAACAAAAATTGATCTGGTAATTTACAATCCCAACAGAAGCACTTTCTGGTGTTCTAGCAGTTCCTAATTGCCGAATTCCTCCTGATTGCATTCTACCGTGTAGTTAAACATGTTTCCCCACCTTCTATTTTTCTTTGCAAATTGGTCGTTGAACCTCGAGGCTGGATCAGACTCGGCTTCTCATGGTTTTGGAAAGACCACGTCTAAGTGTTGGAGTGTCCTCCATTAGGAAAGCATGACGGCTCTATGTGTCCATCCTTTATGATATCAGTGGTCATTGGTATTCCGGGCTACAATTCCTTCTGCATTTCTCACCTGGCATACTTCTAGAAATCTATTATTTGATTGCCTCGAGGTACCGATTACTATAGAAGAGACAGGGTAGATGTTTCATTTTTTAATCAGTCTCCAAGATCAAGGGTGGGGTCACCTTTGTCCTCCAATAGTGGCCGAATAGCTATTGCAGCATCTCTGCAGACTCATCATGCCGAACAGTCACGGCTCTCCATTCCTTTCTGTTCTTCTCACTGAAGCTCACGTTGTCCTCCCTGGGCTCCCTGGGAACCAAGTGGCTGCTAGGGACTTTTCACCTGACCTCACTGCTCCCAGAGCGTCCTTGTTCATGGTTGGACATGATGATCAGCTTAATCCCATACACATGTTGCCCCAGACCTGGGATCCAGCGTTTTCCCAAAGGAACTCTGCCTCTTTTTCTTGAAATCATTTTCATCTTTCACGGATGGATAATTAGCATGCCTTTAGTTGTGTATAATTATTATGAAACTTCCTATGCACTAGAAACTTTGTGTTCTAAAACCCTTTCAAGGACATACCCCACTCTCCCACAGCAACCTTAGTGCTCAGAGAGGTTCTTTCTGGTTGTCTACTGTTGCAGAACATTCTTCTCTCAATTCTGCGAGTTGACAGGGCAAGGTGGTGTTCTCTTGGCATCACCCATGCAGTTTTTTACTCATATGTCTGACACATGGGTTGAAAGGCCAGGCCAGCTGAGGCGACTGGAATCACTCTCTCTCTCCCGAGTGTGACTTCTCCATATGTTTAGCTTGGGCTTCCTCACAGCATGGAGTTCTCAGGGTGGTTGGCTTCTCTTAGAGATAATATGCTGAGAGGTCAGAGTTGGAACTGTAAGGTTTCTTTTCTTTTTAAAAAAAAATAATTTTATTAGGGGCTCATACAACTCCTATCACGATCCATACACACAGCAATTGTGTAAAGCGCATTTGTACATTTGTACATTCATTGCCCTCATCAAATATTTCCTCTCCACTTAAACCCCCGGCATTAGGTCCTCATTTTCCCCTCCCTCCCTGTTCCCCCTCCCTCATGAGCCCT